TCACAAATCCTCCTTCGCCTGTTTCTTGATCCATCACCCAGTATCCGGATTCTTCTTCCAAGTCTCCTTCATCGAGGACAAGGAAAGTGGATCTTCTTTGCCTGCGGATCGAAGGATCGGCAGTTCCTGTGGCGCTTCCGCAAAAGAGATCAAGGAATAAGCCTTTGACACCTAAGTATGTGTAATTGTTCATGTTGATCTGACGCAAGGCCATGCTGGCTACAAACCTTTCTCTTTGCTGTTCGTTGAGATCCGACTGAACTAAGAAAATAAGTGACATCAGGTTGTCAGACAATGGAAAGGTGTCACGATGTGCTTGTTTCAAGGCATCAATGTGTTCAGAACGGATTCTTTCTGCAGTTTCTCTTCTTTCTGTTGGATCTTGAATTTGTTGAAGTAGCATGTACTGCCGTTGCGAGAGGATATCAGTAAAGTTGAAATCATCAGGCTGTGGAGCAGTCGAAAGATCTAACAAGCCCATGAAGGCTTCCATGACTTTCTTACTAGCGACTTCAAAACGAGCGATCCAGCTGACAAATTCTCCGTTTCCGTGCCAGGTCCTGAAGAGCTGCATGAAACGCCAGAGAAAAACATGATTTGCTCCCTTGACAAAGTATGGGCGCAACGTCTCCTTGAAATACGTAATACCGTTTCTTTCATGACGAAGCTGTTCATTGTCGAGCATCTTTTTGTAGTATTCGGCGTTTCCGGTTAGAGCGTTCTTCAATGATGGGCCTAATTTTTCGGCGCTTAATGTGGTGATGTTCACCCAGTCATCAATCAAATCTTCAAACTCGAACCAGGATGACTGTCCATCGAATGACGGAGGAATTTTTGGCGTCATCTTGACACCTGCTGATGGTTGTGCCTCGTACGTCCGGTATGTCGAACTCGAGGACCTTCCTTGCTGATGGCGATGACGCGTGCCTTGAGCGGCGAAAGCTTCTTCTGGATCAGTTGCTTCCGACAGGCTGTCGTCATGCTCTTCGTCCGTATCTATGTTAAAGATCTGGACCATGGTCTAATTGTTTTCAGACAAGTGACTTACTTGGTTGTCCCCTGTCCAGAATATCGGACGATTCGGCAAGAAGGCAAAATCGACCGTTGCGAAGCAGGAGACACAAGCTCCGCTACCACTTTGAGGGGCAAGTTCCCCCAGAAGTGGCAGTTGCTTAACTGGACCTGATCGAAACACCAAGTGAGTCACACGAATGCGATCGGTGTGCGAGCGGCGGCGATGCACACCTTTTCTATGGCTGCGGATGCAGGTATTGGGCTACTAAGTCTTGAGCCAAATGAATTAGGTCGAAAGCGGACTGAAGAGCTACAGACTAATCTATACAAGAGAAAAGGTGCTACACACGTGTAGCGTAGACACGCCTAGGGGGACCTAGGACCCTACCAAACACAGGGGGGAGGGGGGGGCCTGAATTGAGCGATCATTTATTAGACCCGGACGTCCCAACACTTGCTTCGCAAGACAAACTCAAGGTATCCCCTAAAGGGCTACCTTTCGTGATGTTTTTTGCTAGGTCGAGTCTACGTTTGTTTGTTTGTACTGTACTGTGTTTTCCTTGCCTTGCTGCGCCTTACAAGCCGCCTTGCTTACAACCTGTTTTTGTGTTTCCATTGGCTGGCTGGAGTGTTTTGTTTTATGCACATGAGCAGTTGCCCTTGAATCCCAAACTGTCACACACGCAAGCCGAAACATAAGCACATGAGCAAAGCTTTTTCTGAGACGCGACATGGTCTCTTGACTGGGTTTGCTGTACTGAGCACTGTACTGGGTGCATTGGGCATTGGGCCCTGCTCGGTTTGGTCTCGCAACTCTAAACCAAACAACAAAACACAAAATGCACTATACAAATGTTGTATATCGCTTCTACTAGTATCGTAGCATAGTGTAGTGTAGTATAGTACAGTGAATAGTATAGCGATACTTCTATGTGATTAACTGTGAGTACAGTCAGTCAAGGGTGGAGTGGAAGTTCGACAACACACAGTTCACCAAAACCGAGGGATTCCTAGGACCTACTTGCATTTAGTGCAGCAGGTGATATGAAAAACCATATCAAAGCCTGACAAAACCCAAGATTATCAATACCATGAACAGCCCAAAGGAGCAATATGAACAGCACAAATGAAAAGGACAATGATGATCGAATCAAAATGATAACATCAGAGCAATGAGAACAGCACAAATGAAAAAAAAACAATGATTACTAAAATGATAATATCAAAGCAACATGAAAAAATGAAACAAACAAGGATAAGACAAGTGATAACGCCAGAAGAGAATGAAAACCAGACCAAAACCCCCATGATAAGCAAAATGAAAGTAAAACGAAAAAGTAGTATAAAGTACTTATTTTCACACCCCTCAGTGTGTGGCTGTGAGATGTTCATAATACTACCTGAAGGAAGAGCCAGACTTGTTGATGATTGCTTGGCCTTGCACACTTTGGTCTCCCCTTCAGTACTATGGCAAGGAGATGACTTCTGAACGGTGGGAGAAATTCATGAAGGCACAGCAAGAAGAGAGGGAACGCTTTTTCACTTTCATGCACGACATTGTCTCTCTCCACCAGCAGCGAGGAAGGCCCCACATGGGAGAGAATCCTTGGCCGTCCTATGCATGGAGGGAACCACAAATCAAGGCCATCTATGAGGGTGAGGGAGCTGCGGCGCACGGATATGTGTGCTCATGGACTTCGTCATCCGACGACCAACAAGCCATTGAAGAAGCCAACTGGTCTTGCAGGCGCCCCACATCTGGTGCAGAAGTGTGCCATCCCTTACAAGTGCTCAGGCTCTCACTGGGGAGCTATAAGGAGAACGGCAAGACCAAGTCAGTAGCGTCCTATGCTACAGGCTATACACTTTTTGCCAAGAGGGTGGTGATGGCTGCTGAGGAGTTTTTGGATGTTTTTGGACAATTGGTCTGCATCGAGTTGCTGGACTTTGGCCTCAAATCACGTTCCGGAGGAGCGCTTTGTGCCGGACGATGAGGAGGTGGACGAGGACCTGGAGGAGGGCCTTGACCAAGAGTATGAGAAGGCGGAGGAACCTATGAGCCGCCATGGAGGCGGACAAGAGATCCCTCAAAGTTCCCCTTCCCAGAAGGAAGTGCTAAAGAAGATCCACCTTCGTCTTGGTCATCCCGGCAACACGACACTCCACAGAATGTTGAAGCTTGGTGGTGCCCCAAACAAACTCCTTCAGCAGGTGTCCTGTTTTAATTGTCCGACCTGCGCGCAGATCCAAGAGCCTGGCAAGCCACCAACTCAACGGCCATGTTCAAGGCCAGCTGCTTTCAATGTGGAGGTGCATGTGGACTTGAAGTATGCCCAGAACATCAAGGGCCAGACCTTTGTGGCCTTGTCAATGGTGGATGCCGCGACGAACTAACATCGTGCGGTCCTCGTGAAGACTCGTCAGCCAGGCTATGTTGTTCACAAGTTTCTCAAGCACTGGATTGCCATCTATGGTCGGCCAACAAGGATGGTGCTGGATCAAGGCGGTGAATTTGAGAAGGAGTGGATTTTGATGCTGGAAGGTTTGGTATACACTAAATCACCACATAGTTCACCACATCCTTGGAATGATTTGGCACGCTCTCAATGTTCAGTTCAATGCCCAGTCCTCTGCAGAGATCGCAGCGACTTTGGCAGCCGCAACTGAGGCAAGGAATGAGCGGGTAACCCGGAAGGGCTATTCAGCTAACATGTTGGTCTTCGGCAAGAGCATTTCCTACCCGGAACTCCTAGCGGATGAGGACTATAAGCCATTGACACAAGCCCAAGGTCTTGACACCGATGCAGAGATGCTGAAGACCTGCAAGACGTCATGCTGCCCACCAGATTCTTCTGCGAGACGACATCCAGCAGAAGTTGAAGCGAGCTTTGATGAGGAGGCCACAAACTCAAGAGAAACCATTCCACCCTGGAGAGGTGGTTTTCTTCTTCGTTCCGAAGATGAGCAAAGCTCGCTATAGAAAGGATGCAGGACGATGGAGGGGGCCGGCTGTGATCGTCATGCAGGAATCACACCAAAAATACTTCGGGTCTTTTTGGGGGAGGTGCCTTCTTTTGGCTGCTCCCAACCTTCGTCGAGCCACAACAGAAGAGATGGCACCCAACATCGTGAAGGAAGAGATGGATGCGATGAAGTTCCCGGAGGAGGAAGTTGATGGGCGCAAGGAGTATGAGGACTTGACGGAGTTGAAGTCACCACCGGAGGCCCAGATGGAAGTCTGACAGTTTCGTGACGCCCACGGGAAAAAGGAGGAGACAGCCGGTGAAGCTCGACGAATGATGAGTGGGATGCGGTCCATGAAGAAGCTCTTTGGCGAACGTCAGAAAAAGGTGGCCAAGCAGATGCTTGGCATTGAGGATCGCCGGAAACGACCCCGGCTCAAGGCAATCAAGGATGGCACGATGGTGCTCGAGAAGATGAAGTTCCAGAGCTGCCTAAGGAAGATGATGAGTACACACCTGGCCAGGGGATCAACCTGACCAAGGAAGAATTTGGAAGGAAGTGGAAGAAAAGGAAGATGAACATGTGAGGTCTGATGATGAACGGATGAAAGACCAACATCGCAGAGAGCGAGCAAATGTCGTTCATTTCGAATTTTGGTTTTGCAGCCACTTGCTCAGGCAGCCACTTGGCAGCCACTTGCAGCCACTTGTCACTCAAGCAAGTAAATTTCAACACGTCATGATTTCTCCACGCGCAGCTCTCGGGAAAACCGGAATTTCTTCGCAGAACAGCATTGCAGAAATCGAAATCGTGGTTTTCTCCAGAGCTGCGTGCGGAGAAATGATGATATTCTCCGGACAGAAGTAGCAGTCACTTGTGCAGCCACTTGGCAGCCACTTGCAGCCACTTGCTTGGGCAGCCACTTACAGCCACTTGGAAGTGGCTGCAAGTGGCTGCAAATTGGAAACTCAAAATGCGCACCTCCTGCGAGCTCAATGCAACCTCGGCATGCTCTCGAACAAATGAAGCAACAGCTCCAGAATCAGACTCCTGATCAACGACGCCAGTCTCTTTTGGGTGATTTCCCTGCTGCAGCATTGAAGCGAACAGCTGAAGTGGAAGCACCAGAACTGGCGAAACGCTTGAAGAGCGGCTTCTATGCCACTTTGATGGTGTCTCTGTCCCAAAAGGAGCTTCAAGAGAAGAGAGGACGTCGTCCAGGTCATCAACATGCAAGTGAATGGCTGTCTCGACGTGAGTTGGAGACATTGAAGGAGGTGGTTGACTTGCCAGTGACGGCGGCTCGGTGGCATATCGCTCCTCGCAAGCGGTTTCAGAAGCCACCAGTTCCCAAGAGACCGCATCAGTGTCTAGCTGGGTCCAACAGTGGGGCAGGCGATGATCGTGGAAGAGAAGGCTGCAGAGGTGTCCACACGTCCCCGAAGGAAGGACGTGCAGGGTGCTTATGTCCAACATGGTGATCGGCTTTATCAGGTTCCATGGCCAGAAGAAAGGATGTATGCCTGGAAGAACTTCGTTCACCAAGATCGCTTGGCTCGACGTGCTTGTCAGATCTTTCTTCTGAAGATGAAGGCCAATGGCAAGGAACTGGATCCTCGGCATTTCTCTCCTGATGAGAAAGTCCAGGACGATAAGTCGGATGAGGCTGAGTGGTTGTCATGGATTCGCAACAAGGTTGTGCAGTTGGTTCCTCCGGAGCGTGCGAAAAAGGTGCCACGGAACCGGATCTTTCACATCCCCCTGCGCTGGGTCCGTGTGAACAAGAACAAGGAGATATATGCTGCTGTGGTGGTCCCTGGACATGCAGATCCAGGACTAGGGGAGTATCGTAGTGATGGTCCTACGACCACCCCCTGTGCAGTTCGCATGTTGGAGACTTTGGCCATGAGCAAGGGTTGGGTGCTTCATGTGTTCGATGTGGCCACAGCCTTCTTGTCAGGCACCCTACAGACCGGGAGGTCTATGTCAAGGCGCCTGCTGACGGCCTTCCAGAACAATCTCCCGCCATTCCTCCTTTTGCATTGCTCAAGATTTTGAGTCAGCATACAGTTTAGCTGAAGCTCCGAGGCTTTGGTATTTGCGTACAGTTCAACAACTGGAGGAGGTTGGGATGACAGAAATACCCTTCGCTCGTGCCACTTTGTCAAGGTGCATGATGGTGCCACCATTGCTGCTTGCACTTTGCATGTGGACGATGGACTCCTTGCAGGACCACCAGCGTGTCCACCGTTCCAAGCTTTGAAGCGCATGATTCCGCATGATCAATGAGCGGTTCAACATCAAGGAGTTGAGAACTGTGGGTCCGGAGGCCGTTGATTTTCTTGGCTGCAAGATCTCTGTGAGCAATGGACTGCTGAAAGGTTGCATGAAGCTCTATGTGAAGAAAGTAGAGACTATGGCGCGCTCAGAAGATTGCCTACCGCCGCTTGATCATGCAGTTGAGGTGGCCTGCTCTATACGTTCTCCCTGAACGACTCTTTGCTGTTAGTGAACTGGCTCAGAAAGTCTCCGGTGCTCGGATGACTCATGCCCGAAGCGCCAATCGTCTCTTGGCAGAGTTTCAGCAGTTGGCTGATGAAGGCAAGATGCGGCTCCCATACCGTCCGTTGGAAGGACCTCCATACTGCATCAGCTTCTTCGACGCTTCTTTGGGCAAGAGTGACACCTACAAGGCGCAGCAGGGACAAGTGCATTTTGTCTCGTCAGCTGGTGCACTGGAGAAGCCAACGACAGCGAACATCATGGAGTTCAGGAGCAGTTTGATCATGTTTTGAAGACAGGTCATTTGACGGCAGAGCGCCAAACCATGCTGGACATCCTTGCTGCAAAGCAGCTCATTGAGCAAGCCCATATGATGGTCGCCTGGGTTCCGACATGGCGACAGTTTGCAGATGGCTGGACCGAGGATATGGTCGATGAACTTTTTTCCGAATTCAAGTCCCAAGGGATGGTGTGTCTTCGAGAGACGGTTGAGGACCGCCAATGGGAGGCTCGAAGGGCCGATTTGAGGCGCGGTCAGCGCGAACGTAGGAAGGCACGAATGATCAAAAATATGACACCAACATCTTCTTTCCTTGATGTGGAGATTTCAGGTGGTAAAGCCAGCTAGCAGCTAGTTGATTGCTTGTGTTGTTTGGTGTCAACCTTGTGTAGTTTCAGTTCGTGACCGCGGCCATCGATGTGCACTTTCGCTCAGCGAGTAGAAACTGCAGCCGCCGTGCTTGCTTTGCTTTGCAGGGTTTTGGTCCCTTTTGTTTTTGGTTGGTGCAATCAGCTTCACAATCAATTTTACCGCCATAACGGGGATGTCCCAAAACACCCAAAAAGCACAAAACCATTGAATCCAAACAACCTGCTGACCGGAATATCATCCTGAATCCACTTTGGCTGCGAAAAGTTTTGCATCCGTGGCATGGGAAAACATTAATTCCGGTCACATCCGACATTCAAGGCAAACCAATTAATTTACAATCATTTCCTGTAGCACTTGCAGTGCATTCAGGTTTGTTCTATGTTTCTACGTCTTAGGTATAAACATTGTGTGAATGTATTCCCCAAATAGGTTGCTCGCAACATCTTGCAAATCGGGGATTCTTATGGGAGTTGTAAGGAGGGTTCATCACCGGCGTTCGCGCTGGTCTATGGCCCCTCGGACACAGTCGTTGCATTTTTCGTGTTTTGTTTTGCGACTGTACATTTTTGGACTTGGTGGTCATTTGTGGTAAGGCATACCAAGCGGAAATCACAGCTGCGCAAGGTCGTTGCGAACCAGAACGTGCGCTCCATCAAGCCGGGTTTGGCTTTGCATATAGTTATTCTATATTATTCTATATTATTCTGCTCTTGGCAACTTTTTGACAAACAAATGAGAAGGCCAAGGAGGTTATTCCAAATGAGCAGCCAAGTGCATTGCTGATCGCTCAGCTTTCATGTCACCCTCCACGGGCTCTGGGACTGGCATGTTGCTTGCTGAGGGTTCGCGATCCCGGCTGAGAATGGAATCGCTGACTGGAGGGTAAGCTTTTGGATCTTTTTGGGGAAATCCTTCTCCATGGGCATGTTAGCTTGGCTTTGGACGCTCGAGTGGCCTACGAGCTTGCAGCCGTCTGACCCCGGCTTGACTTGGCTTGAACTCTGCTTGGCTTGCCTACAGGGCATGGGCGACATGGGTAAACAATGTCATTTCAATACGGATGAGTTCACGGAATGCCCTGGTTTAAGGGCTAAAGAGCGCGGAACCTTTTAGTTCTCAGTCAAATCCCGTTAGTTGAGCCGTTGAAATACTTCGCGTTTGCATTGAAACAGCTCCCCTTGTTATGCTTTTATGCGGCTGCTCCGCTTTCCGGTGCAAGAATTTACCGCGTCCCGCTACTCTTTGCTGTGCCTGCCTTCCTCGTGGAAAATGTCAGGGATGCAGATCTAATGAGAACAACGCTCTGAAGATCATTCAGCGGGCGCATTAAGCTGGTACTGGGCCACGTCATGGGCAACAAGCTTTTTGAACAAGAACATTATAATTATAGTTATATTTATTTACTATTATTATTTACTTAACTTTGCCCTTGGGACATCCATGTGTTGGTGCCAGCGTAATGCAAGTTGACACAGCTCCTGCAGAAGTATGTGTGCCATTGTGTGCCTCTAGGCCATAAACTCCAGAGGAAGAAGTGGCAAGCCGATGCCGATGCCAAAGTATGATAGGTCTTACTCCAGTCTACTCTTCTGCTCCTTGTTCGACCATGCACCTTTTTGATCTTTTTGGCCGAATTCGGGAGTTTTTGACAGCGGTTGGGAAACGCTTTGGCACGGTTGCGCGGCGCGCACCTGCAACTGCAAATGTCGTGGCACTCGCCGCACTTTGTGAACCTCGATGTGCAAATTTTGCGGCAGCCGCAGCACCTTGTGAACGTTCAGGTCCAGAATTTGTGGCAAGCGTGGCACTTTGTGAACCTCACAGCTCTGATGTCCCAGCAGGCGCAGCGCTTTGCGAAACTCGAAGTGCAAATTTTTTGGCAGTCGCCGTATTTTGGTGTATGTGTGCTCTCACATGTGTGCTCCCCAGGGTTCCAAACTGGAAGGGCATTGGGGCGCGTTTGATGGACCGTCCGCAAGCAGGCTGCTTTTCACGGGCACACGGCATGAGAATTAGTTTGCAAAGAGCAAATGATTCTTGTGTGTTGTGAAGACTGCCTTTTGCAGCTTTTGGTGAACGATTACGTTCAGCTGGTTAAAGGTATTCGGACCCTTTCAACTTGATTACAACATGTGTGGGGGTCGGAGTTTGAAGGAAATGTATATTCTTGGCGGCCTACTTCATCCTGAAACTCTGTCAAAAAATGAACAGTATATATATATATACACCCATCAAAGAACACCATTAACGGGTGTATACTCAGGAATTTATTGAGTAGGTCTTTTCGAGCTGAGGTCATTTCGTCCTTTGCTTGTGTTCCAATGTTGGCTGCATTGTTTAAAGCAACGTTCTTCGCTTCTAGAATCCTGGACCAGCGTGTTTCTAAAGTCCTTGCACCTGAGGTTGATGCTCTTCAATACATGACGAATATTAGTAACGAAGTCCTGGCATTAACCGTACAAGCCCATTTCCAATCAGAAGTATTTCCTTCTTTTCCTTTGCAGGCTGTCCTGATTCTTCGGAAACCCACATAAACCGTGACCGTGGTGACACTTACCGTAAAACGTTCCTTGGTATTCATCTCACCTTCGTAACGTTCAAGTTATCTAACGGTTATCTCTATATATATACAGTATATGAATTTATCATTTTGATATTCAAGGAGAGTGCAAACACATCTTGTCTCTCAAACAACAACACGATCAAATGCATGTTCTTGATCAACAGCGTAAATTGTTCAGCTGGGTCAGATTCGTCAGGCCTGTGGCCCATGCTTTGGTGCCTTCAGCACCTACACTGTCACCCAAGTTCCCTTGCAAGTTTGTCAGCTCGGTTTATTATATATAGATATAGGTCCTAGACTTGATTCTCAGTAACCGATGACTTGAAGGCTTAAACGAGCATTTCTAGAATCCTGCGCCTAACATGCCATCTGCTCCTCAAACTCGGTAGCACCATGATGCAACATTATGTTCTGAATTCCCAAGACCGACGACAGTTGATTTACTGGTACATGTGTATGCTTTTCTCCTGAGCCAAGATATATAAGTTACAAAACATGTCGTGGTGGTTGAAGGCTGGAAGATGAATAACCATTGTCAAACGGGCATCAATACATTCAGACTCTGCATGCTCTCCATTGACACATGCATACATATATACTGTAAATAGAGTCAGTGCAGTCAAACATAATCGTTTGTCAGTGGTCTCGTGTTGCAAGACCTTTGGGAACCTCGTCAGCTTTTCTACTCCTTGTCGAAGCACAAGCACCACAACAACAAAATTTATATCTGGCTGCAAAGCCAACCCCACAGTATATCTATGTTGCCACCAATCCCTGCGAAGGGCAGCTATCTTCCTGCAAGGTACACGCATTGCAATGAAACTTGGAGTCTCAGGGCAAAGCAGAAAACTTCCACAGCTGCTGCGTTTGCTATGGGTTATCGGTTATGGGCGTCTGCTAGGAGTACATTATTACTCAAGTCGTTCGATCTAACCATGGTGTAAGGGCAACCGGCTTTGTCTCCTGCTACAACAAGGTGTCACACAGCAAACATACGGCCGTTTCATTCTATTTGTCGGACAAATACGGACACACGTCGTTTTGACGTGTTGGAGGGTCAATGCTCCAGCCGTCAAACAGACGGCACTCTGCCCACATCGCCAAGAGCTTGGCAAACAAAATGCCCGTATCTCCAGCCATCCCAGCCCTGTTCTATCACGCTATTCGTGATCAAGTGAGAATGGTGGCACCTTGGCATGGTTTCGCAGCCCAAAATCGCAAGCAAATTTCCTTTGCACATGTATGAAACTCTCCAGGCCCAGGCTAGTGGAACAGGTTTCGGCAAGGTTCCCTGCCATTCTTCTCCGTACCTGCATGTCATATGCGCAATGGGCATTCGTGCGCATGCTTCTCATCAAGTCATGGAGCTGAGCTGCCCCCTTGATATTCAGTGGACACATGACATAAAATTACACCCCTTTGAAATTCAGGGGTCCCCTGGGGACACCCATTCTATAGAGTAATATAAATTAAAACGTGGACCTTTTGATTTGGCACTATTGGATCACACACTTTCAGAAGCAGTCAGGGTCTAGAGTCTATATATAGAATCAAGCAGCCTTGATCAGGAAGTGGGCCTGAACAAAAGACATAGCCCCTCTTTGCATGCAATAAAATCACAGCACATTTGTCCGGAAACAACACCCATCGATCAGACTTGCCAAAAGAACAACATGGAACCCACGAACCCGAATGTTTTCAAACAACTAACACCCAAACATTTTTGGACTGTCTTGTAGGAGACACTCTCATAGAACGCTCTTGTGGGACACTCTCGTGCGATGCTTTCGTCATTCTGTGGGACGCTCTTGTAGGACACTCTTGTGGGACACTTTTGCAGGACACTCACGTACGACACTCACATACGCAGATGTAATTTGGCCACATAAGTTGACAGTTCCGAGGCCGCAGCTCCCAGAAACTGCTTCCCGCACGACATTTGTACTACAAGCTGCCAGTTCTACAGCTCCCAGAAGCTGCTTGCCGCACTACATTTGTACTACCAAGCGGCCAGTTCTGAGGCCACAGCTCCCACAACTTGCTTCCAGCACTACATGTGTACTACAAGTTGCCCGTTCCAAGGCACAGCGAAAGTTGCCAGTGCACTCACTCTTGTGGGACACTCTCGCGGAACTCTTGTTGGACACTCTTGTGGGACACGACACTCTTGTATGTCACTCTTGTGGGACACTCTTGTAGGACACTCTTGTCGGACACTCTTGTGGGCACTCTCACAGAACAATCTTGTAACTCTTGTAGGACTGTCTTGTGGGAAACGGAACACTCTTGTAGGGCACTCTTGCGGGAAACCCTTGTGGGAAACTCTTGTAGGACACTCTTGTCAAACACTCTTGTGGAACACTCTTGTGGGACACTCTTGTCTGACACTCTTGTGTCACTCTTGTAGGACACTTTTGCGGGACGCTCTTGTAGGTCACTCTTGCGGGACACTCTTGCGGGACACTCTTGTGGGAAAGTCTTGTAGGACACGCTCGTAGGACGCATTCTTGTGGGACATCCTTGCAGGACACTCTTGCGGGACACTCTCGTAGGACACTTGTGTGGAGCTTCGCAGTTCCAGCCCCTCCAAAACAACACCCGCTCACACGCCAATCCCAATGTCACAGCGACATTCACTTCCACCACAACTTGCAACCTCACGATTCCCTGCGCCTGCAACGAAAATTTGCACGTCCACACCTCCAACACGCACAAAGCACCGCGCCTGCCACGAAATGTAACCTCCGCCACACCTCGCAACCTCACGACTCCCTGCGCCTGCCACGAAAATTGCACCTCCGTACCCCAAAACCTGTACCAAGTACAGTACTGCGCCTGCCACGGAAAGCGATCATATCATATCATGTTAGCTTCAACCATGATTGCGCCACAGCACACGTTTGGAATGATTTCGACACATTCTGAGCACACTCCCATCCACCAAAATCGACATTTGAGCTGAGACTTGTCACGAAAACACAGCTTCGAAGCAACACCCTGAAACGCAAATCCCAATGTCACAGCCACCAACACCCCAAAAACACCACCCTCCAAACGCCAATCCCAATGTGAGTGCACAGAAAAGTTACCATCTCACAAACCCTGTGCCTGCGCAGCGAATTCATCCTCCACACTTCATCCTCTCACGTTTCCATGCGTTTCCTCGCTATTTCACACGAAGCTGACACGTCATGCTTCCATCCAAACCCCTCTCCAGAAGCTTCCCCAATGTGAGCGCCATAGCCCTACTGCGAACGGTTGCGGACGGTTGCAAAGGCTGAGACGCATTCGGAAAGCTGATTATATACTCCTGTTTGTTCGCTCCTGCTGTAAATTCATCTACACAGGATGTCCAGCAAGGCACTTTTGGCAAGAACAATGCTGTGCTTTGGGAAAGGCTCCTTTCGCTGAAGAAGCCAGAGTAACACCGCCGTGCTCGCAGGTGACACAGAAGTCAATGGGACAATGACACGCTTGTCTGCACAGTTTGTGGAAGCCCTATGTTCACAGAAGCTCACAGCAACCTGCATGGGTTTAGATTGATTTAGATTATTTAGTCGTGCGTCTCAAACAAAACTCACACAATATAATATATAGCAAACTACAGGGCTAACTTTGGTGTGGCGTGATTTTGCTTGGGGTGGTTGATGATGGAAGGATCGCAATCACCACAGAAGCAAACCTCTATAGAATCGCACAACAAAGCGACATTTTTTTAAAAATACAGGGCGGCGGCAGACGGGATCCCGCTTTTGACCTTGACGCTGCAGCCACATTATGGCGCCACTTTCCTAGTACTGCGACGTTACATTCCCTGACGCCACATTCCCCCCTGACGCCGCATTACCCCCTGACGCCGCATTCTGGCGCCGCATTCCCTGACGCCACATTACCCCCTGACGCCACATTACCCCCTGACGCCGCATTCTTCCCTGACGCCACATTCCTCCCCTGACGCCACATTACTCCCTGACGCCACATTTGACGCCACATCCCCTGACGCCGCATCCCCCCCCGACGCCGCATTCCCCCCTGACACCGCATTCTGGCGCCGCATTCCCTGACGCCACATTGCCCCTCTGACGCCGCATTACCTCCTGACGCCACATTGTGGCGCCACATTCCCGGACGCCGCATTTGCCCGTGACGCCACATTACTCCCTGACGCCGCATTCTGGCGCCGCATTCCCTGACGCCACATGGCCCCTTTGACGCCGCATTACCCCCTGACGCCACATTGTGACGCCGCATTCCCTGGCGTGACAGGACCCCGTCTGATGCTCCAAACTGCACGAAACGGTTCTTCGTAGCAGGGGCCGCTTTGACACTGTTGAAGCAGCAGGCAACCCCAACACATGTCCAAGATATGGCAAAACACACAGCGCAACAATTGGACATTGTGTTGTATTAAACGGTAAGAAGCCCCCGTACCGCGCACGGTATGATTGAACATAGCCTTCCTACTTAGCTCAACGTACCACTGAAACGGGACTGGGCACCCTTAACAGTAAACTTGTGCGTTGAAGCTCTTGTTCGCGCAAATCTGCACTAAACTCTGCCACTCCCATCACCCTGACATAGGCTTCAGATGATACAAAACGCCAGGCATCCTTGAGTCTGGGTTGAAATGAGGCCCAACATGGGCCCACAATTCACTCAACATAGCTTCAACTTAGCCTCCAAATGGGTCCAGCGCGTCCAACAGAAGTTTGTCGAATATTCGGGTAAGTCACGTCATGGGGGCACATGCGCAAAACCTTCAAGATAAGTATGAATGGTCTGCTCTCAGAATGCAATCCCCCCATGACAAAGGCTGGTTTTTTCTCCAAACCATGTGTATATCACGCTGCGCCGGCAGCTGCCATCACTTCCATTGGGGACGGTACCTGATATAACATGATGAGAGTCAGGGAAGAAAAGCAACAATACAATACAACTTATCTATTTGATCATGTCTGTCATGACCCTTGCATTTTTCATCAATGGATTTGGGTCCAATTCATTGGACCTTGCAAACCACAAAATCCTTACAAACAAGGCCATCACCGGCACAACAGCGTCGAAATGATTATTTTCGGCGCTGCCACGATAACGCTACTTTTTTCGACGCGGCCAGGACCACTGCGGGAATGCGACCTTGGATTTCCGGTCAGAAGGTCCTGGTGGTACCTATTTCAGTCTATCCTTTGTCATGTTCACCATCCACCAGCTAACAAACCCGGACACACACTCCACAGCTGTGCGTGTCTT